CCGCCACCACCACCTCGCAACAGCCGAGACGGCCGCCGCCGCCGCCGCCGCAGCAGCACTCCCCGCAGCCCCGCAGCAGCACTCCTCGCAGCCCCCGCAGCCGCACCGGCCGCCGCCGCTCCCGAGCGCGGCTCCCGCCGGCGAGCCCTCGTTCTGGGCGACGACGACTACGACGACGGGGGCGCCACTGGCGCTGCCGCCGGGGGCAGCGTCGGCGGGGGTGGCGTCGCCGCGCGGGCGCTCAATCACGATCCCGTCGTCGGGCGTGGGCGACCAGCGGGTGTTCGCCCTCCTGCAGGACCTGCACCTCACCAAGTACTGGCACACCTTCGCCCGCGAGGAGATCCTCCTCGAAGACCTCGACGACATGCAGGAGCAGGTACCCCCCCAAACCACCACCACGGCCACCACACGTTTGTGATGCTGCTGCTGTTGTTGTATGGCTCACACACCACACACACACACCACACACACACCACACACACACACCACACACACCACACACACACGCCACACACACACCACACACACACACACACCGACCGATCAATCGACGACAGGACTTGATTGTGGACTTTGCGATGACGAAGTGGCACGCCAAGCGGCTGCTCAGGACGGTGGAGCAGCTGCGCGCCATCTCCCCGTCGTCGCCGCTCAGCCCGGGCCTCTTCGACGTCGCCGCCGCTTCTATCACCGCCGCCAACGCCAACGCCAACGCCGCCAGCAGCAGCAGCAGCACTACGGTCAGCGGCGCCGACCACAACTCGCCGGCCATCGCGCAGGCCTCGCACCTTCCCACGGCGCCGTTGCAGAGCGACTCAGCCGCAGGTGTGCGACCAACCGACGGCACCGGCGACCACCACGCGACCACGACCACGGCCGCCGCCGCCGAGGAGGGCGCTGTGGTGGTGGTGGAAGAGGAGAAGCGGCGGGGGCTGGAGGGCAGCGGTGGGAGCGGGAGCAAGAAGAAGAAGAAGGGGGCCAAGGACAAGAAGGCGCGCAGGAAGCGGCGGAAGGAGCGGGAGAAGATCGAGCGCGAGTGGGCGAAGCTGCGGCAGGAGCGCGAGCGCCTGGCCCTCGAGCAGCAGGCGGCCCCGCCCAGCAAGCGGAGCATCGCCGACCTCGAATTCCGCGAGCTGAACGTGGCCGACATCGAATGGGAGGACCACGTGCTGGCCCACGGCAGGTACCCTACCCTCGCTATTTATCTATCTTTCTTTTGATCTATCTCTCTCTCTCTCTCTCTATCTATCTAGATTTGATATAGATATAAGTTATAAGTTATATAAGTATATAAGTTACACCATTGATTTGGTTGTGTGTGTGTCGTGTGTGTGTTTTTTTCCCAACGACCACCGCGACCATGGCACCAGGTTCGGGGTGGTGTACCGCGGGCGGTGGCGCGGGGTGGAGTGCGCCCTGAAGCAGCTCCGGGTCGACGTTTCCGCCGAAAGCGACGAGACGGAGCGCCTCCTCCGGGCCTTCAAGAAGGAGGCCTCCCTCATGCAAGGTGAGCCGCCCGCCCCCCATCCGTCCCTCGTGTCGTGTGTCGTGTGTCGTGTGTCGTGTGTCGTGTCTCATCAAGTCGGCGCGCCGGTGCAGCGCTGGGGTACCATCCGAACTGCATCTGCTTTTTCGGGGCCGTCACCCTGGGCGGGCGGCTCTGCCTGGTCTCCGAATGGGCCGCCAACGGTACCCCTACCTCGACCCTCTGCTCTCTCTCTCTCTCTCTCTCTCTCTCTCTCGCACAATTGCGTTGTTGCATTTACAACCAACCAACCAACCAACCAACCAACCAACCA